CCCCAAAACCCCAAAACCCCCGCAATCACCATTAATCTCAATTTATGAAATTAAATTCTCATCAAATTATTTATCGCTTTAATTAGCTCAATTACCATTTGTCTTCTTAATTCAGATAGAAATCATTCCTTTTTGTCTTCTGATTTTTGTTAGCTACCTGTTTATACCCCAGAACTTACTGGCCCTTTTCTAATTGGCCTGACTACTCTTCTCTTCACTTCTCTAAAGATCATGCTATCGAATAGTTTCCTGTCATGCCACAAACCTATACTTTCAGTGCCTAGTTTTACATTATTATCATGCACACTCTTATAGCCAATGAAAGGATTGAAAGATTACTTTCTTATTCTAATCAAATCTTTTGGATCAAAGGTCAGATCTTTTAGACCTAGTAATTTTGCACTCCACTACTTGACAAGAATTTTATTCTCTTATGGCATGTAATAAATAGCTGATACCAATCTCTGCAAGGTAGAGTATATAATAATTGAATTGAAGCACAGGAAGAAATCTGTTAAGTGCAAGATTGCGAATATAGTCTTTGCGTTGGGTTTATGATCAAGGAAACCAAGTTCAGTCAGAGCTGGTATCCCAAGGATCATTGGTATGTTTACAAAGAACAAAATGTTCTTGTAGAACTGAATCTTCTTCAGAGCCTCTGGCTGAATCTCAAAGATCTTATACTCAGTGACTCCTGATTCCTTAATTTTGTCTAGTACTTCTTTTACTTGTTACTCATCATATATTTCGCTCAATGCCTATGCAGCTGCTTCTTATTCCAATTCCTCCTGCTTCTTTATTTCTTCATCAGTAGGTGTGGTGACCACTTTCTTTCTTCTAAGTAACTCGGTTTCAAAGTGACTCCCTTCCATAAGATCTTTTTTCATCTGTTCCTTAGTCATTGATGATTTAGGATTATTCTCTGATGAAAAGCATAAATTGTGAGCTGTTACAAACTTTGAATAATGATTTTGAGATGCTAGTCTTTTGACAAGTTAGCTGTATACTTTCATTTTAGTGGATTATAAATTAATACTATTTTTATCACTCTGAGTTAATTTAAAGCTTTTGTAGTATTTTTTGTATGCAAATTTCTCTGAAGGGGTTTTGGGGTTTTGGGGTTTTGGGG